GCTTGTCACCGACAGAGGAGAGCAGTCCCCTTCGAAGCATCTCAGTAACAAGGCTCCCCAACCCAGCCGACCGCGTTGCGCCTCCCCGCACCAACAGAAAGCCGCCATCCCAAGCGCCCCCTCACCTACGCACCCATGGGTGCCCACAGACCTTCCCCCAAGCACGGTCAGGCAGGGAGAAACCCCTGAGGTCTCGAGGAAAACCACAGGAGCTCCGCTCTCCCCGTGAACGGGCAGTACCAAAATCCACCTTGGGTGGACCTGCAGCCAGAGCCAGCAGGGATGGGGGTCCGAGCTCGCTGCTGCGCAGGAGAGATGCGCCATGAGCCGTCTGGCTCAGCCCCATGGGAACCAGCGATGCCGCTGCTCCCTAAAAGCAGCTGGAACAGCAGAGACAGCCGCCCCATCGCCCACACAGCTCCTCGAGGAGTTAATTTTGGCAACACTCGCCATGCCAATATAGTTATTGTGACTGAATTGAATGAGATTTCAGTACAGGTCACTGCTTAAAGGAACATTTTTAAGCCACGCGGGAGAGAGATGGGAGAACCCCCTAAATCTGCCTGCTGATGGCAGGGGCTGGGCACTGCTGACGGCTGCAATCCCGGAGCTGGCAAGTGGCAGGCAGAAACGGTGTCACTGTCACGCAGGGACAGTCATGTTTGAGCAGGTAACTCCTGCTGGAGCTGAGCGGCGCTGAGAACGTATGGACCAGCATCCCAGGAGGGTGGGAGATGCATCGGCACAGCCAGATCTTCAGCCTCGCTGCCTGGAGGGCTGCAGTTGCAGCCCACGTCTCTCACTCCAGAAAACCCCAGGGCAGCCACTCCTGTGAAGGCTGCCCTTGGGTACCCCCACAGCCTCCCCTGCCGCAGCCGTCCCCAGGATGGGACAAAATCCTCAGCTGGATGCTCCCAGGAGGACCCGCTGTAGGAGGAGCTGCTCTGACCTCTCCCGGCCACGGCTGGCTCCCACAGAGCCTGCAGAGGATTTCTGGCAGCTGTTAATCCCTTCTGACTTCCAGCGGTATTTGGTGTACCCACAGATGTTCTCACTGTCTGTGCAATTACTCAATCTTGATGGCCAGAGTTACCAGGAGCACAGCTTCTCCAGAGTCCTCAAGTTAAAGACTTTTTGCCCAGGGCATTAGTCCACTGCATCTCCAGCACAGGCTGACGCTCACAGCCGAAAGCTTCAGCCCTGCCAAGGGTTGTGTTTCCCTTCAAAGTCACACCAGGGCTAACGCAGCAGCGGCACTCAACATCGAGACAAGTTTGTCCCAGAAGACAAGTGTGGAGGACAAATATCTGGTTTGTGTCACATCCAAGCGCATCATCCAGGCTGAGCCTCGGTCTTGTGTCTGAGCAATGGTGGTCTGGGCTTCTCCAAGGTGAGCCCATGTTTCTTGGGTGACACCCGAATCTGGGGGAGCAGAGCCCCTGTCCTCGGTGGGGGCTGATGCACCCCATGTGCAGAGCACGGCAGTGACGCAGGGCACGCGCTGCCGGCTCCGCCGCTGCGGCATCTCCTCAGCTTCTCCATCGCCCGCTGCCCCCGGACCTTTCGCAAGAGGTGGTTGAGAAATGTGTAGAGGAAGTTCAAAGGCACAGAAGCATCATCCACCGCTCATCATCCGCCTCTTGCTGAGCACCCACATGGGGACATGACCCAGGCGGGGGACGGCGCTGCTCTGGGCACAGGGACCTGGCACCCCCAGTCACCCACTGCACAGACCCCCCCCCCCAGCTCCTTTGCATGACCAGGGTGACCGCATTGCTAATTGCTCGCTCCACCAACAAGCCTCACCGCTCGCTCGTCAGCACGCGGCATCGCAAGGCAGCGGGGGCCGCGGGAAGCTGGGGGCCAGGCACCAGGTCCCCTCCCTGCCACAGGGGCTCTGCACCCCGTGATGAACGTGTTGCTCACTGCTCCCCTCTGCAATGCTGCCTAAGAGACTTCTGCAGGGTGGTGACCTCCCCACCGTGTCCCCTCGAGGGTCCCCCACGCCAGGGAGGGCTGCCCCACACGGCCTGCAGCGAGCCCAGCGCTTCCTCCTCATCCTCCCTCTCTCCATCTGTCCATCTCCTCGCAAGGCACACATTGTACCGGAGGGGAGAAAGCCGGGGGAAGCGCCTGCTTTGGGGCACCAGAGCTGATCCCAATGCCAGAGCGTGGCGAGGATGAGCGGTGTGGGCATTGACTCAACCCCAAAGCTCATTTCTTAGTTGCAGCGATGGGATCTCAGAGCAGCATCCTCAAAAGCGCCGGGCATTTCACCTGAGCACGGCTGGGTACAGCCATACCCGGTGCGTGGCTGGGCTGTAGCTCACCGCCACCTCGGCACAACGTCCCTGCCTTCCCGGGGGTCACAGGGATTTGTCTCTGCAGGCAGCGGGGTCGCCTCTCCAAGAGCCCAGGTTTGCAGCCGGGCTGCGGGTGGTCCGCGCGCATCTCGTACCACCAAGCCCACATCACCCCCTCGTCAGGCAGCGGTGCGCGAGCACCCTCTGCGTGCTCCCTGTGACGAGGGATTTGCAGGCAGGGAACATGCTGTTATCCCGTGACAGGCTGCCAGAGGTGCTGCTGTAGTGGGGCCACCACCACACAGGGTTTTTCCCGACAGCGGTGCTGCTCCCAAAGTTGGCCCCCGACTGCTCTCAGGACAAAGGGCTTCGTGCTGCCTCCAGGGCCGCACGGCAGGAGGCTTCCCTGGCAGCTCTCAGTCTCTTGGTCACAGCAGAAAATACTGCGCAGCTCCAGGTAACCTCTCAAGTAGGACTAAAATATGGCTTTTTGGTATTTTTCCATGCGTTCTGCTGTGAGCCACCACGCTACTTTAAAGACTTTCACGCACAGCTCTGCTCAGCCAGTGCTCTTCAGATCGCCCCATTCAGGGTTTGCAGGACATCTACCGTACATGAGCTTCAGCCACGATATGCCACGTTAACACCACGCTGCCTTAACGAGACCAGCTCACACCTCCCAGCCAAGGAGCACAAGTCCTGGCCAGACCACCCAGCTTCTCTACCTGCCGACCTTGCGCCCAACAGCCCTACACCAGGACCAACCTGACTCATTGCTTGCTCAGAAACATCTTCAAACTCCAGCAGCAGCACGCAGAGCGATGCCCCCACCCCCCTGAGACGGGAAAACACAAAGGGGAAGTTGATAGAAAACCCCAGAATATGCAAGTTAGAAAATGTAAAGTTTCCACTGAAGCTTCTCTCCTCCCTTCCCCCTACACGCAGCTTCTCCTTGCACCCAGGAGAAGATGTCTCTCCTCCTTCTCCTTTCTGGGTGCTCACCCCGAAGCGCAGTGGGGCTCGGAGCCCGGTGGAGCCACCTCCCAGCGGGTATTTGCCAGCAGCACACGCGAGCCCCGTACCCTCACGACGTGCCTGTGCACCAGCAGCGGGATGCGGGGTGCCTTCGTGCTGCAAACACACAGGACATGTGGAGATTTCTCACCGCAAGCATCGGTTGAGCGCAGACCTGCTTCCCACCTGCACCTTCACAGTGCCGCCCGATGACACTGTTTTCTTAGACTTTGATTTCAAACCACCTAGAGTCGGTGCGCAATCCTTTCGCCACCGAGATCGAGGGGACTTTAGGTACTCTGACCCTGTAATCTGCTCTATCCTACACTCCAGAATTAGCAAAGGATTTTAGAGCCCTGAAAATCATCACCTGACAGTTCCCACGTAGGTGGGAGCATCCTCGCTACGCAGACCCGGAGCGCTCCCAGCCCTGACAAGAGGCACGAGCAGAGGCATCGGGCCGTGCCTGGTCTGGCAGAGCCTCCCTCCTCCTGATATTCTATTTAAGTTGAGAACAAAATAATCCCCAGCTCTCCCGCTGCGGTGCAAGTTTTCCATCCCGGTGACACATTCCTCCCCCCCTCCCTCCCGCCCCGTATTCCACCTTTTGAAGTATTTGATACCGAACAGATTGCAAGAGGCCGGGGTTTAATTCAGGAGAAGCTGCCTGGATGCTTCCTGATAAAAATAGATTTTTTTTTTTTAATTTTTTTTTTTTTTTTTTTCCTCTCCTTCCAAAGGAGCTGGGTAAGGAGCCGCGTGCTCCAGAAGCACCGTGCAGCTGGTCACTGGCATCCGGAGCTCCATGGTCACTCTCTAAAGGAACGGGCCAACGGGCAAGAGAAGCCCCAAAATAATCCTGCTGGAATTTCACCTGCAGCAGGGCTGCCTGTGGGGGAAACTAACAGGTGCTGCCTATAAAAAGGGCCTGGAATCTGCAGTTTGGGGGAAGACAAGAAAAGAGACCCTGGGGTAGCTGTTGAGAGCTACGCAGATCCCAGAGCAGCTCGGGGACGGTTATAGTAAAGGCTATATTTTACATACATGACATCAGAGGAAGCCTCGGATCACACGCAGCCACCATTTGCAAGCTTCCCTCCTACAGCATTAGCAGAAATTCAGCTTGAAAGCCAGAGCCCCACGACCAAACAGATTTCCTCTTCAGAGGAGGCTCCGGGAAGCGCAGCTGAAACCCTCCATCGAGAAACGCCTGCACAGCAGGGCTCTGCACGGCACAGATTTTGCAATTCGGCTTTTCCCAGCATCTCGCTCCTCTTTGCCCTACAGGAATCTCTCCTGCAGGACCTTCCCTTTTCCCCGCTTTGCTTCTGCAGAAGCGCTGTCGGAGCGGCCGCTCTCCGGCAGCGGGAGCCTGGGCCAGCTCTTCTGGAGTTCAGGCTTAGTTTGAGCCCCAGGAGGGTTCACCACAGGGTCTCTACCGCATGGAGGGGAAAAAAAAAAAAAAAAAGTGTGCTTGCACCTGAAATCAGGGACGCAAACAACCTCGCAACCCAGGGCTTTCTGCCCCAGGATGGTTCTTTTCCTAAGGCTGAGCTTGGAAATATAGAGTTCATACTCCAAGGCCACGTTTAATTAAACTCAAGAGCTTTGCTCCAGCCATTCCTTCATGGCAGGAAATCACAGCGGTTCACTGAGAAGCTGCGCTCACCGCCAAAGCCTTCTTGGCTTTCAGCAACCGGGAGTTTTCAGCTTGGGGCCAACACTTCTCAGTTGTGATCAGGCAACTCAAAGCAAGGAGTGTTGTGCTGAAAGCATTTGCTTTCTGCTCAAGTTTGTGCTCAACTCTCTGCCCAAGTAAAGCTTCGATGGGAAATATTTCCAACGGGCCTGGAAGAGCATGGGTTTCCCCCGTGCAGGACAGTGTTTCACCTGCGCGGGAGCCTGGGCTGGGCTATTTGCAGTGGGATCTGGCTGGAAGGTGGGAAATTTGGACAAACCAGGCAAAAAGCTCAGCAGGTAGATGCTCCTGAAAGCTCATACCCGTTGCCAAACAAGGTTGGCGCAAAAAGCACCGACCATG